TATATTTATTGTCTTCAGAAAGAAATCATCCCTACCACTTCTGGCAATAGAGCCCTCAAAGGACCCAATTGCAATCAAGCAAATGCACCAATACTCAAATCAAAGAAATGCTATTGTTTGATTTAATCTGATTTTTTTTTTTTTTTTTCAAATTTAAGTGGATAAGAGATTATAAGAATCTATCTGCTCGAATTCAGTGGGGTCTTTTGTAGGAAATGAGTCATGAAGTCGTAGGAAAATTGTGTTCTCTAACAGATATAAGCTGCATTTATTGATTCAAATGATGATTGGAAGACAAGTCCATGTGATTCTTCATTCTTCACGTGCTTATGTTTTTCAGGATTCACCAGCCAGGCACAATCTGCTTGCCTCTTGGCCTCTTGATCCCGATTCCAGAGGATATGGCACTTCCCTGTTCATCCATGTATACATATCTCCAGGTTTGCAACAAAAATTTCAAACTCAAATCTCTTTTTAATGCTTGTCAAACAGGGGCTTAGTTTGGCTTAACAAGTTCCAAAACAAAGGCTGGTTTAAGTATGACATTGCAATAATATAGAATTTCTTTTTACTTTCTCCAACATAAAAGGCAAATTGTCCCTTTGGAACTTCAACTTTTGATGAAGTTTCTCTACTTATCATCAGCGAAGACCGTTTAAGAAGTTGTTGAATAATACAACTCATGCTAATAGCCATCGTTTCATTAGTGTGTCTAATCTCAAAAAGAAGATGAATTAAAAGTTATGAAAATTTTGGTAAAACAAATGGGTGATAAGAAAATGACCTGTGTAGACGGGAAGCCCAAGAACTCTTATAAATATATGACTAGTTAAGCATAAAATCCTTCACAATCAAGATGAATGGAAGTGTCAAGTAGATGTGGCTACCAGCTGACTAGATATACAAAAGCACATGGAAGCTGTAAAGTGTCTTCCAATCTTCAAAAAACTTAGGACAATAAAATGAAATAACAGTCCTTTTCAAAACATCGTCCCCTAGCACTTCTCTCAACAGAGCCCTCAAAGTACCCCACTAACATCGAACAAGAAATGTGTTTGGACAAAATCCAAAAGCGTACGACATCGTTGACAAGTAATAGATAAAGTGAGTTGAGAGTTGTCATCCTACGAAAAATAATGTTTAATTTCAGTTTACTAGTTCTATCAAATTCGATATGT